GGGAGCAGAGCGCGTCCTTTGGACAGGGGTCCCTGTGCCGAGAAGCTCCTAGTCCAGGGGAACACCGAAGAGAAGGCTGACAGAGAGGAAAAGCCTTCCCCTGGAGCTGACACCCTGAAATTGGACTTTTAGCCTACTTTGACTGTGAGGAAATAAACTTCTCTTCATTAAAACCATCCACTTGTGGTGTTTCTGTTATAGCAGTACTAGATGACTAAGACAATGGGCATCCAAATTGGAAGGGAAGAAGTAAAACTATCCCTACCTGCAGATGACATGATCTTACACAGAGAGAACCCCAAAGATTCCACAAGAAAACTACTGGTAAAGTAATAGAAAGATTCAGCAGAGTAGCAGGATACAAGATCAACCTAGAAAAATCCAGTTGGATTCCTATACACCAACAAAGAGAACTTCGAAAAGGAAATCATGAAAACTACCATTTATAATAGCCCCTAAAAAGATAAAATACTTAGGAATAAATCTAACTAGGGGTGTAAAAGAGCTATTGAAAGAAAAGTACAAAACACTACTGCAAGAAACCAAAAGAGACCTACATAAATGGAAAAACATACCACACTCATGGATAGAAAGACTCAACATTGTAAATATGTCAATCCTGCCCAAAGCAATCTACAAATATAATGCAATCCCAATCCGAATACCAACAGCATTCTTTAACGAGATGGAAAAACTAATCACTAACTTTATATGGAAAGGAAAGAGGCCCCAGATAAGTAAAGCATTACTGAAGAAAAAGAATAAAGTGGGAGGACTTGTACTACCTGATCTCAGAACCTACTATACAGCCATGGTAGTCAAAACAGCCTGGTACTGGTACAAAGACAGCCACATAGACCAATAGAACAGAATTGAGAACCCAGATGTAAATCCATCCACCTATGGTCAGCTGATCTTTGCCAAAGGACAGAAGTCCATTATGAGGAAAAGACAGTCTTTTCAACAAACAGTGTTGGCAAAGCTGGACATCCGTAGAAAAATGAAACAGGACCTATACCTCACACCATATACAAAAACTAACTCAAAATGGATCAAAGACCTAACTATAAAACCTAAAATGATAAAGATCATGGGAGAAAAAATAGGGACAACACTAGGGGCCCTAATACATGGCATAAATACAATCCAAACCATAACTAACAATACATAAATACCAGAAGATAAGCTAGATAACTGGGAAATCCTAAAAATTAACACTTATGCTCATCAAAAGACTTTGTCAAAAGAGTAAAAAGAGAACCTACAGACTGGGAAAAAAATTTTGACTATGACATATCCAACAAGGGTCTAATCTCTAAAATCTATAGAATACTTCAACACCTAAACAACAAAATGACAAATAATCCTATCAAAAAATGGGTGAAGGATATGAACAGACACTTCACCAAAGAAGACATTCAGGCAGCTAATAGAAACGTGAGGAAATGCTCACAATCATTAGCCATTAGATAAATGCAAATCAAAACTACAATGAGATACTGTCTCACCCCTGTATATTACTGGCACTACTCAAAAAAACAGAAAATAACAAATGTTGGAGAGGTTGCAGGGAGCTCGGAACTCTTATGTATTGCCGGTGGTAATGTAAAATGGTACAACTACTATGGAAAATGATATGGCACTTCCATAAAAAGCTAGAAATTGTTGTTGCTGTTGATAGGTGTCGTCGAATTGGTTCTGATTCATAGTGACCTTAAGTACAACAGAATGAAACACTGCCTGGTCCTGCACCATCCTCACAATTGTTATGCTTAAGCCCATTGTTGCAGCCACTGTGTCAATTCATCTTGTTGAGGGTCTTCCTCTTTTTTGCTGACCCTCTACTTTACCAAACATGATGTCCTTCTCCAAGGACTGATAACATGTCCAAAGTATGTGAGACATAGTCTCACCATCCTTGCTTTTAAGGAGCATTCAGGTCATACTTCTTCCAAGAAAGATTTGTTTGTTCTTTTGGCAGTCCATGGTATATCCAATATTCTTCTCCAACATCACAGTTCAAAGGCATAAATTTTTCTTCCGTCTTCCTTATTCATTGCCCAGCTTTCACGTGCATATGAGGCGATTGAAAACACCATGGCTTGGGTCAGGTGCACCTTAGTCTTCAAGGTGACAACTTTGCTTTTCAACACTTTAAAGAGGTCTTTTGCAGCAGATTTGCCCAATGCAATGCATCTTTTGATTTCTTGACGCTGCTTCCTTGAGTGTTGATTTTGGAAAACAATATGGCACTTCCTTAAAAAGCTAGAAATAGAAATGCCATGTGATCCAGCAATTCCACCACTAGGAATATATCCTAGAGATACAAGTGTCATCACATGAATAGACATATGCCCACTCATGTTCACTGCAGCATTATTAACGATAGCAAAAAGATGGAAACAACCTAATTGCCCATCAACAGATGAATGGATAAACAAATTATGGTACATATACACAATGGAATATTATTCAACAAAAAGAACAATGATGAATCTTGGAAACATCTCACAACATGGATGAATCTGGAGGGCATTATACTGAGTGAAATAAGTAAATCACAAAAGGACAAATACTGTATAAGACCACTATTAGAAAAACCCAAGAAAAGGTATGCACACAGAAAAAAAAAAATCTTTGATGGTTACAAGGGAGGGAGGGGTGGGGAGGTGAAATCACTAACTAGATAGTAGACAAGTTAACTTTGGTGAAAGGAAAGACAACACACAATATAGGGGAAGGTAGCACAACTTGAACAAGGTAAAGTCATAGAAGCTTCCTAGACACATCCAAACACCTTGAGGGACCGAGTTATTGGGGCTGAGGGTTGGGGACCATGGTCTCTGGGGACATTTAGGTCAGTTGGCATAGCATAGTTCATAAAGAAAATGTTCTACATCATACTTTGGTGAGTAGCGTCTGGGGTCTTAAAAGCTTGCGAGTGGCCATTTAAGATATATCTATTAGTCCCATCCCATCTGGAGCAAAGGTGAATGAAGAAAACCAAAGACATAAGGAAAACATTAGTCCAAAGGACTATTGGATCACATGAACCATAGTCTCCACCAGCCTGAGCCTGGCTACTACCACTGACTGCTCTGACAGGGATCACAATAGAGGGTTCCGGACAGAGCAGGAGAAAACTGTAAAACAAAATTCAAATTCACAAAAAAAAAGACCAGACTTAATGGTCTGACAGAGATTGGAGGAATCCCTGAGACCACAGCCACCGGACACCCTGCTAACTCAGAACTGAAGCCACTCCCGAAGTATAACTTTCAGCCAAAGATAAGTAGGCCTATAAAACAAACAATAACACATGTGAGGAACGTGCTTCTTAGTCCAATCAAGTATACAAGATCCAATGGGCAACATCTGCTGTCTTAGTTATCTAGTGCTGCTATAGCAGAAATACAAGTGGATGGCTTTAACATACAAATTTATTCTCTCACAGTCTAGGTGGCTAGAAGCCTGAATTCAGGACGCCAGCTCCAGGGGAAGGCTTTTTCTCTCTATCAGCTTTGAGGAAACGTCCTTGTCATCAGTCTTCACCTGGTCTAGGAGATTCTCAGCGCCGGGACCCCAGGTCCAAACGGCATGTTCCACTCCCGGCTCTTGCATGGTGGTAATGAGTTCCCTCTGCTTTCTGCCCAGTTCTTTTATATCTCAAAAGAGATTGACTCAAGATACAACCTAATCCTGTAGATTGAGTCCTGCATCATTAACATAATTACCTCTAATCCTGCCTCATTAACATCATAGAGGTTAGGATTTACAACACATAGGATAATTACATCAGATCACAAAATGGTGGACAACCATACAATACTGGGAATCACAGCCTAGCCAAGTTGACATACATTTTTTGGGGACACAATTCAATCCACAACACCTGCCCAAAAGCAAAGAGGAGAAGGCAGGAAGGAACAGGAAAACTGGACGAATAGACACAGAGAACCCAGAGGGGAAAGGGAAAGGGGAAGAGTGCTGATACATTGTAGGGATCGCAACCAATAACCAATGTCACAAAACAATTTGTGTAAAAATTTTTGAATAAAAAACTAATTTGCACTATAAACGTACACCTAAAACAATAAAATGTAAAAAAAAAAAAAAATCCTGACCCATGAAATGTTTATCTATGTTTGTCACATGAAATCACTACGAGTCAGAATTGACTCAACGGCAACGGGTTTGGTTTGTTTTTTTGTATGGATTAATAGCAAATTATTTTAAAAAAAAAAGTCTGCTACTTGATACCCATCAACCAAAGACCTGAACTTAGTGTTCTTCCCTAAGATTTTACCCATTGCTATGAAGTCAATTTCTACAGATAAGAACTGCCCTATAGGGTTTCCAAGGCTGTAATCTTTATGAAAGCAGACTGCCACATCTTTCTCCCATGGAGCAGCTGGTGGGTTTGAACCTTTCAGTTAGCAGCCAAGCACTTCACCACTGTACCACCAGGACTCCTTCCTAAGACGATTAAAAAAAAAACCCGTTCCCGATTCCCACTCATAGCAACCCTATAGGATAGGGTTGAACTGCCCCACAGGGTTTCCAAGGAGGTGGTGGATTTGAACTTCTGATCTTTTGGTTAGCAGCCGAGCTGTTAACCACTGCAACACCAGGGGTCCTGTTAAGACCATAGGATCATTAATTATGAGTTCTCACTGTCAGTCCTCAATTTATGGTGAAAGATTGTTCCTACTTACAGGCGTATTCAGGAAGGCTACCCCTTATCGCCATTCCCAGGTCCTGTCAAAACTTTAGAGGCAATGTTCCAAAACTAGACTACCTGGTTGTCTTTGTTTCTTCATGCTTCTGTAGCAGAAATACCTCAAGTGGATGGTTTTAAAGAACAGAAAGTTATTTTCTCACAGCTAAGATGGCTGAAAGTCTAAATTTAGGGCACTGCCTGTAGGGAGAGGTCCTTTTTCTTTTTTATCTATTTCAGCCTCTAGTAGCCAGCAATCCTTGGTTCCTGGGCTTGTAGATGCGTCTGCCTCTGTTGTCTTCAGATAGCATCTGCCTTTCTCGTGTCTGTTTACTTCCCTCTGTGTCTATGCTGCTGTTGTTTTTGTGTGCCGTCAAGTTGATTCTGACTCATAACAACCCTATATGACAGAGCAGAAGTGCCCCATAGGGTTTCTCAGGCTGTAATCTTTACAGGAGCAGACTGCCAGGTCTTTCTCTCTTGGAGCTGCTGGGTAGGTTCAAACTGCCGACTTTTCGGTTGACCACTGCACCACCAGGATGTGCCTTATATCATGCAACAGGGTTTAGGTTTTGGACACATCCTACACTGATAGAACCTAATTAACACAACAAAGAAAATTCTATTTTCAAATAGAATTACATCCACTCATATAGCGGTTAGGATTGCAGCACATATTTTGGGGGACACAATTCACTCCATAACACCAATAAACCCCAGCAAAATTACACAGAGTCAGAACCTGAGAATCAGAGCCTCCTCTCATTCTGCCTGGTCACAACCCAGTGAAAAGTGGAGAGAGCACTGACTTCAGACTCAGACAGTGGTTTTGAAGCAGCTCTCTACCCACTAGCTACTGACCTTGGGCAAGTTATGCGAACTCTGAGTCTCAGATTCCTCTTCTGTAAAATAGAGAAAATGTATCTGTCTCAAAGAGGTTTTGTGAGAATTTTATTTAATTAGATAATGTAAGTGAAGCACCAGTCACATAGGTCACAATTTAAAAAGAATGGAAGGTATTGTCTTCTCTTCACTTCTTAATTGTTACTGCCATTATTATTGTTAGCAATTATTTGTGTTTCATTTTCTCAAAATGGAGATGTGGTCATGAAGATTGTGATGATTGCTATGGAAATGATTTATAAGGTATGTTGTTGTTGTTAGGTGCTGTTAAGTCGATTCTGACTCATAGCGACGCCATGTGACAGAGTAGAACTGTCCAATTGGGTTTTCTTGGCTACAATCTTTACAGAAGCTGACTGTCAGGTTTTTCTCCCTCATAGCCACTGGGTGGGTTCAAACTGCCAACCTTCTGGTTAGCAGCTGAGCCCCTAACCATTGCACCACCAGGGTTCCTCTTATAAGATACATAACACCATCAGAGTACACAGTTATAGACTTGTCATCATTTCTATTATAAAGTGTTAAAAACAAAAAAATCTTCCGGGGGGTGGGGTGGGGGAAGGGCGGGAATGTTTAAAATGAATCCAAAAAATTGCAGATAGTTTTGAGGGGAAAATGTCAAGACATAATTAACATCGGCCCAACAGTTGTATCTGGTCAAACAGGAAAGGAAAAGTCTATTATTAGTGTAATGTAGATGAATTAAGTGATAGATATTCATTAGATTATCCGGGGTGGGAGAGCTTTCTTAGTGAGGGAGGCTGGTCCTTGAAGGGGTGGGTGATGGGGATCAGAGTCCAGTCTCTCTCATTTATGACATTTCCAGTTCATTCATTTTGGATCTGGAGCATCATGGTGGTTTCTTTCCCTCCCTCCCTTGCTTTCCTTCTTTTCCTCCCTTCTTTTCTTCTCTTTTTTCCTTTCCTCCCTCCCACTCACCTTCCCTCCATCCCTGCTCCCCTCTCCCTCCCTCTTTCCTTCCTTTTTCCCTCCCTTGCTTTCCCTGCCTTCCCTCCCTCTCTTTTTCCTTCTCTCCTTCCTTCCTCCCTCCTTCCTTCCCTTCCTTTCGTTCTTTCTTTCCTTCCCTCTTGTCACGGATTGAATTGTATGCCCCAAAAGTATGTGTCAACTTGGCTAGGCCATGATTCCCAGTATTGTGTGGTTGTCTTCCATTTGATCGGATGTAATTATCCTATGTGTTGTAAATCGTAACCTCTATGATGTTAATGAGGCAGCATTAGAGGCAGTTCGGTTAATGATGCAGGACACAAACTACAGGATTAGGTTGTATCTTGTGTCAATTTCTTTTGAGATATAAAAGAGAGAAATGAACAGAGAAGAGAGAGATCTTCTGCCACCAAGAAAGAGGAGCCAGGAGTGGAGCATGTTCTCTGGACCTGAGGTCCCTGCACTGAGAAACTTCTAGACCCAGTTGAAGATTGATGACAAGGACCTTCCCCCAGAGGCAACAGAGAGAGAAAGCCTTCCCCTGGAGCTGGCATCCTGAATTTGGACTTCTAGCCTCCTAGACTGTGAGAAAATAAATTTCTATTTGTTAAAGCCATCCACTTGTGGTATTTCTGTTATGAAAGCACTAGATAACTAAGACATCTCCCTCCCTCCTTCTCTCTTTTCCTTCCTTCTTTCCTTTTCCTTTCTTCCTTCCTTCTTCCCTCCATCCCTTCCTTCTTTTTTTTCCTGGCTTTAGAAAGCACCTAACACAGAACATACAGGGTATTGGTCACACCAGCCAATGTGCTACTCTCACATTATATTGCTCTCCCAAAATATGGAAGAAGGAAAACTAAAGAGCAGTTGTGGAAGAATGTTAGAGGCAGTCTGGTACTCTCACCCTCTCCCATCAGATACAGAATGGACAAAACAAGAACTCTTGATTCTCTGACAATTATCTGTGCTTTTTCAGAAATATTTTCCTTGCCATCTTAAGGGAAGTTTAGATAGGAAAAAATCTACTTGGTCTTTAACTGCCTGAAATTCTTGCTGTTTTCAAGTTTTGTTTTTTTTTTAATTCCAGAGCCTACAAAGTAGGATCAGTAGAAATCTTACCAAAGAATAAGCTCAAAAATTTGGCCATAACACTGTGTGTTCCAAGAACTTTACTAAGACCTAAAAAGTATTCTTCGTTTGGGATCCAAGGAGTATCATGGTGGTCATCATCTTGGGATGGATAATACAGACGCAAGAAGCTGCCCTGTTGAGAAAGGAAATTAATGTACTTTTGAGAAGTTGTTTCTCAAATATATGCCACAGCTATTTTGCATATTTAATTAGTGAGGACCCAAATACTGTGTAGTTCATGAAAAGATGGAGAGAACATTTTAAGCTGCTGTGGTGATTGAAACTCATTATGAAAGAGAAGAAAAATAGAATATGCTTTCTAAGTGAAAAGCAATTATAAGCATTCTTCAGCCATTAAAAAAGAGGAAAATAAAGACAGGTTGCAGGTTCATTTATCAGATGACAGCAAAGAACTGTGGAATGACTAAACCAGCAAAAGCCTTCTTATGAAGCAACACAAATGGCAAAATGAGTCATTCTCAGGTAAGGACAATGTCAAGTTGCAACACCTTCTAGTGAGCCACAGCAACAGTCAGCATGAAAAGTATATAAGGATGAGCTGTATTAATCAAAGCATTACCTTATTGGTGTAGTCAAACATCAAGTCTGTACAACCAACAGAATAAGATCCACTTCCTCTGGGAATTTTAGTTTGGCCAAAGCTCGCAGCAGCCATCAAAGCTTTTATTTTATGGAGCCATGCTGAAAAAAAAAAAGAAAAAAAAACAGGTTTAAGTATCATTTCATTAGTCATCAATTATATCCCAGACTTCATTCTGCAAAGGAATTCCAAGGGAATCAAGTTAATGCCCATGGTTTCTGGCCTCCTTCATTTCTTTACCTAACTGGCAAAATACACAAATTATTATTGAAGGCCTCCTATGCCCAAGACACTGTGTGGGGTTTTTGGAAGATAAAAACATGGAGGTAGACATAGCCCTTCTCATAAGACAATTAGGACCATCACCCTAATACTTACAACCTTGCCCTCACTTTTTACTCCTATCCAGATTTTATTAGAAATGACTTACCATGTCTGTTTTCTGTAAACGTGAACTTTACCCCACACAGATTTGTTTTCAACTTCCCATTGGCCTGATGTTGTTCCCATAGGAATATCAAAGCCAATGGTTCAAAATGAAACTAAATAACCATTCCCAACTCTTCCTCCTCACCATTCTACCATGCAGGCTGCAACTCCAGAATCCCTATCTCATGTATCCCAAGCCAGCAATCTGGGAATCATTCTACTCTTCTATCTCTTTTTCACCAACTCCCTACATCCAACCAAGTCTCAATTTCTAATATTTTCACTTAGTTTAGAATTATTTCTCCAATATATCCTGACCCTCTGGCTCAACTGCCTCATGTAAACCCTCATTGTCTCTTGACCAGACAGTTGTTTCCCTCCTAACTGTCTTACGCACCTGAATCTTGGACCCTTCAAATGCATCCTTCACACAGCTCCTGGAGTCATGTAAAGCACAAATCTCACCGGGCAATTCTCAAAATTCTTCAACGGATTTTAAGCAATTCTTGAAGCAGACATGTATTGAAATCTTTCTGGAAGGCAGTTTGCAGGTAGAATTTAAATCTGCACATGCCCTCCTAAGCAGATACACTGTCACTGAGGCACAAATGTAATTTGTGTATGGCGACCCCATGTGTGTCAGAGTAGAACTGCTCCGTAGGGCTTTCATGGCTGTGACCTTTCAGAAGCAGATCACCAGGCCTTTCTTCCAAGGTGCTTCTGGGTGGGTTTGAACCGCCAACCTTTCACTTAGTAACCGAGTGCTTAACTGCACCACCCAGGGACTCCTTCCAGTGTACTGGGACTGAAGGGCATTGAGATTCATAGATGTGCAAGTTAAATCCCAAGTCCCAGAGCATTTATAAGAAAGACCCTCCATGATCTGGAGGCCCACTGCCTTGTACTCCTCTTCTGCTTCTTCCGCTTAAGATATCCCCCTTCCATGTGCATTAGCACTCCTGACCAAACAGCACGGGGCTGTTTGATGCCTTTGTACTTTGTAAATACTATTCCCTATGCTTGAAATCCCCTTGGCAAACTCCTGTTCAATCTTTAACATCTTGATCAGATGCCATGTCTTCTCTGAAGCCTTCTCTGACCCCTCATACGGAGTTAACCATTTCATCCTCAGTATTACACAGATACCTTTTACATATTTTTAAAATCATTCTTCCTGTACACATTGTATGCAAATTATTTGTGTGCATTTTCTGTCTCCCACATTTGGCTATTTCTCAAGAGCTGGATCCATGACTTTGGATTCTCAGATCTTAACACAATGTCTGGCACACAGTAGGTGCTCAACAAACATTTGTGAAAATGAACTGAACTAAGCTTTTCACTACTGCTGGTCCCTCTTGTTCTTCCTTCAAACTCTATCATAAACATCCTTTTACCCACACACATTCCTGAAACTGCTCGTCTCTTCTCTGGTGCCAAAACCCTTCCACACACCTGAGGCTTCATCTGTTCTCTTCCTTTCTAAACCCCAATCAAATCCACATTTTATTTTAAGACGTTGAGTCCAAATATCAGTATTTCCAGACCCTTACTTTTCTCAATACATATAGCTGGCCCATCTCTTCCTCTCTATTGGACTAGGGGAGTTGATTACTCTGCTGGGACCAACTTCTTTGTAGTTGCCATCATACCCTGCCTCTGCCACTCAGACACCAAGATCCTTAGTAAGGTACAACACCTGCAATGTTATCATGTGGCATCATCCAGAAAGGCTCTGAGTCATTGGAAGAAGGCCATTTAGGTGACTCATGTGTGAAGCACCTGTCAGCCATGAAGCCTTTCAATAATAAAGCCTTACTACTCAAACTGGGGTCCATGGACCAGCACCACTGGCATCACCTGGCAGCTGGAAAACACAGAATCTCAGGCATTCACCTCTATTCTACTGAATCAGAAAACATGTATCCACTGAAGTTTAAGAAGCATTTAGCTAAGGCACCAGGCCACCTGGCCTGACACACAGGTCAGCAATCCATGGTAAAATGGTGAGAGGTAGTTCCCAAGAAGGCAGTAGGGTGAGATGGACAGACCCTGGATATTAGAGCCAAGTGATCCTACTTTGAAGTCCAGATGTGCCTCTTACAAGCTATGATACTCTAGCCTAGGCAATTTATACCACCTCTCTGATGGTTAGAGACCATCCTGAGGGCAGCTGTAAGGATGAAGTGATAATGCAGGTCAAGCACCTACCTCACAAGTTGACACATAATAGGTGGACAACTGATACTAGTCCCCTTCCTCAGTTTGTTCACTCATGCTACCCACATGCACAGTGAAGCTCTTGGAGGGGTCTTAGCAGATCTAGATTGGAGCATAGCACTTCCCCTTTGAGCAGATTCAGAGTTTTTATCTGCCAGGACATTTCCTCAGTGATTTTTTTTTTTTTTTTTTTAACTTTAGCTGTGAGGCTATCATTTCAGGGTCTATTTAAAATTCCAACAGGCTCCTCCTCTCCCATTAAAGACTTTCTACTGCTTCATGGTGTAACTGGGAGACATCAGATCCAGAGGACAGCAGGGTAGGCCATACCTGCCATTCCTTCCAGCGATGAGCAGCCTGTGAGGGGCCGCACCCCATCCCACAGACAGCCATGGCATGGCTATAAAGGGGTTGTTGGGAGACCTCCAGGGCACACAGCTCCTGAGAACTCACAGCTGCCTTGGAGGTACTACCTTGGGGACTATGAGTTCAGATTAAGAACCATGAGAGTGTTCCCACTGGCACAAAGCTCCCCTTGTGAGATTTCAATTCCATCTGGGCCCGGAGAACCTTTTCCAATAACCTATGAGCATCCTGGTTCTCCAACATCAGTTCCATCTGAGAAGCTTCCTCTCCCGAAATCAGGAGCCACAAGTCGAGGCCCTAGGGTCTGCCTGTTCTAAGACATCTGATCCCTAAGATGGTCTTAGGAAACTTTGAGCTCACCAGGTTTGGGCATGGGTCTACAGAGTCCTGTGGCTGGTCAGTGTCAGGGTGGCTGCAGAAACAGCTCACCAACATGTAGCTATCTCAGTCATGGTCCTAATCTCCTGTTCTCTAACAATCTATCGGGATTTATCATAAAGGAGGACACTTGTCAGGCTCACTGGCCACTCTCTACATGACATAGTTTTGTGGTCAGAATTTATAAATGTCTCTTCCTATTTTCCTTCAGCTTTATTTTAATAGCAGCATTGGAACCCAGTGGTATACTATGACTCTTATTACATATTTGTGGTGGCACGTATTTGTCAGATGTTCTTGATATTTAGTCCCAGGTTTGAAGATGAATTGTATATAAGATAGGAAAAAATTATATTCTCTTGTATGGCTTTATGCCCTCCATTAGTAAAGAAGATATCTCTAGCCCATACTTATATACCTTTTACCTGCAGAACCATATTTTCTATCTATCCATTTAGAAAAAAAGATTATAAATTATGTATTATTCTAATCTTTCTTAAGTTTAATAAACTTTTCCCAGTAATTTTGAAAAAATTTTTGCATTCATTTTTTAAAACTTACAATGTATAGGGCATTGGCTCAATGCTGGAAATGCATAGATGAATAAAAAGCAATGTCTCTGTCCTCAAGTTTCTGCAGTCCAATAACAGTTACCCAATTAATTTTAAATATGAGGAGACAGAAAACATGTTTTAAGATTCTCACCCTGTACCAAGAAAAAGTGAATGAGGTAAATGTCTCCTAGGTGGTAACTGGTTCATCATATGAAAGGCAATGAGAAAAATGAACTTAATTTCAACTAGACTGCAAGCTCCTTGAACTTGACTGCAAGCAAGCTCTTTGTCTTAGTCACTAGTGCCCTTAGCCTCCTGATAAATGTTAGTCAATGAACAGACCTGTGAGATATTATTCCATTTCTTATGCAAATGTAGATATAGTCCTTCTCCTACTAATGCATTCATTTCCTCAACTATGAAGTAGGGCAGAATTTATTTGTAAGTCACTGGGTTATGAAAGCTCTTCTGTAAATGCTATGCTAAGGAGTCACCCATCAAGCCTGAACAACTAGATCCAGCCATATTTATCCAGGTGCACAGGTCTGTGGGCACAGATCGTATGATACCATTCAGAGGCCACCTACACTGCTCCCATTAGGAGACTAGATAGGGAAGTTCATGCAACATGACCCTCTGAGATTAGCAAGAATTCACAAGGCTCCAGAAGCACTGTCTGAGCAATCAGTCCTTCTGTCTAGAGATGGCAAGGCCATTCTTCCTAGGCTTGCCTAAGCCTTCATCTATCTCTTCTCCTTCCCTCACTCCCACCACAAAGTAAAAAAGGGCAAGTGAGGAAGGTCAGTTCTCATCAGGAGCTTCTTGGCACCTATTTGTCCCTACTTCTCTCTGTTATTAGGCAGAAAAAATTGCTTCCCTCTGGATCCCAAGACCCTAAGTTGCCATCTTCTCACACCATCCCCACTACTAACCAGGACCGTGCCTGCTGATCAAGACACCTGCCTCTTCCTCACTTTTGCGGAAGCAGGTTTTGAGGTTGCCTTTGAGTCAACTGCAGAGTTGTCATGCTACTGGTCTTCAGTGGGAGTGACTAGGGCATGGAGGTAGGGAAGGGGTGGAACTGAGAAAATTTTCCACAGTGATTGCAAGATGAGAGTTCAGTATGTCTTAAAACATCTCACCCTGGTTCTATCCTTCAGTCATGATATTGAAGAAGAGAGGAACTTCTTCAGTACTAGCTGGAACTAGAAGAAAGTGAGACTCTCACTCATACCCCAGGAGAATAGTGTCTCCATGGGCATTCTTCTTAGTAAGACTTGCTTTAGTGGTCCCACCTACATGCAACTTGTCTGGTGCCATCTGTCAACATGTTAGTTGCTCAAGTCCTTGAACAAATATACTTCTTACCTGGTGATTTCATCTGGGCAGCAGGATTTAGGTCTTGCCAGACAAAAGGATGAACCAGTGTGAGGCAGCTGCAGAGGCAGAATAATGCACGCAATTTGGATGGCACCATCTTAGGGGTTGAGCGATGGTTTCAGCTTAACTTTCTTCAAAGCAGGTAATTAAAAGAAAAAAAAATGCAATAAAGAGGACTTACATAGGCTGACAAAATCAGTGAGAATGAGGTACTAGTAACATAACTTTATATATTATAAAGGAAGAAGACATTTGGAAAATATGGAACATGCATTTTCGAGACTGGGTTTTAGATAGGTACAATGGTGGCAAAATCATTAGTAATGCTGTATTGTAGAGCACAGAAATAATACTGACTTTTAGGCAGTTATATTAGGCTTTTGTTCACTAGTTCTTTAATTTTGTAGCAGTCTAGTTTGTTTATAAAAACTAGCATCAAAATATGATAATAATTAATAATCACATAATCATGGTAAGATCAATAGGCATCACGTCTGGCATATAGTAAACACAAAGTTTTGATTAATGTTTTCGTTATAATTATAAAGTGATTATATTGCTGCTTCTGCTATTGCTGTTGTTAATGATGATGACACTTGTATTTTTGGTGATCTCTATAATCCTAATCTCAAAAATAAATAAATAAATAAATGGATGAATGAAGCGATAGATTACCAGACTCCTGGTAATAAATTATATTACAATTAGGCTCTATGCTAAAATCTTGTTAACAAAAATGACTACCCTGTATTTTGCATTACTTTCCCCTTTAAAATGTCTCCCTCCAATTTTTTGAAGTGATGGAAAATCTCCAAGCCACTGCCATCTCTAAGCTGTATTATGGCAATAACCTCCAACTGGTGTCCTTGCTTTTACCCTTGCCCCTATAATCTAGTCCTAACATAGTGGCCTGAGGGCATCAATGATTCAGTGGTAGAATTCTTGCCCTCCATGCAGGAGGCCAGGGTTCAATTCCTGCCCATTGCACTTTATGCACAGTCACCACCCGTCTGCCACTGGAGGCTTGCATGTTGCTATGATGCTGAACAGGTTTCAACAGAGCTTCCAGACTAAGACAGACTAGGAAGAAAGGCCTGGTGACCTACTGCCAAAAATCAGCAAATGAAAACTATGGATCACAATGGTGTGATCTGCAACTGATCATGGGGATGGCTCAGGATTGGACAGCGTTTCATTCCATTGTGCATGAGGCTGGGACAACTCAACCACAGCTAAGAATAACAACAAAGAATAAAGGAAGAGAAGCAAATTTTAGCACCTTTATTTTTTCTTTTGGGGGATGAAGATTAATGAAATACAGAAAGGCTATGCAACCTGCCTGAGGTCACATAGAGAGCCTTTGGCAGGGCAGGTCCTCCTCCTTTTACTCCAAGTGATACCAAAACAAAACAAAACAAAAAAACCAAATATGTTGCCATCGAGCTGATTCTGACTCATAGCGACCCGATAGGACAAAGTAGAACTGCCCCATACGATTTCCAAGGAGCACCTGGTGGATTCAAACTGCCGACCTTTTGGTTAGCAGCTCAGCTTTTCACCACTACACCACCAGGGCTCCTCTCCAAGTGAGAGAGGGACCCAAAAGGAATCCTGCTCTTCTCTTCACCTTCCCAGTGCCACAAAATATATAGCCCTCCACCACTGCCTCTGCTTGGTGTGCTTTGTGGGATGGAAGTATATATTAAGACTATTCCCAAAATGGTGGCAAGACAGTCATGTCCTGAGAAGCGGGCAACCCTCACTGAAAGTTCCCTGCAGTCAGGGAAAGAGGTCTTCTCTGGATACTCACGGATTGCAAAGGAGAAGGCATGTTCCTGTGTGAGCACAGTCAGACTGTGAGGCATTACACGCACCGCAGGCTCCCTCTTCGCTCTCACAGCAATCTGTGCTTGATTCCATTCAAGCCACTTAGCTGACTCTCCTGCAGGGCTCTGTTTATAGAACTGCTTAGTCCAGTATCCTGTGGGCTCTTCGAGGGCAGGGACTAGTCTCCTCGAGAGAAAGGACTGGCCTCATTTGTCTTTGTATTTCTACTACTTAGCAAGGACCTGGCAAATACAAACCAGTTATCCTGCTTAAGTCAGTTCTCACTCATGGCGACCCCATGTATATCAGAGTAGGACTGTGTTCCATAGGGTCTTCAATGTCTGATTTTTGGAAAGATGATTGCCAGGTCTTTCTTTTGAGGTGCCTCTGGGTAGACCTGAACCTCTAACCTTTCAGTTAGCAGCAGAGTGCCTTAACCATTTGCACCATGAGGGATTCTGGCAAACAGCAAGCACTCAGTAAATGCTCCTTGAATGAGAATGTATCCCTTCTTTTTGAGGTGGACCACAAGGTAGCCCACAAACACGTTCCCAGATGATCTCACACCAGGTTATGACTTCTCAATATACCATAGTGGTCAACTGTTTCACCTCTAGCATCTACAGTCCAACTGTCTGGGTCTGAATCCCAGCCTTGACGCTAGCGGTGTGACCTCTCGTAAACTACTTAATCCTTCTGGGTCTTGTTTCTCACCTCTAAAAGGGGGATGAGGATGATAATAATACCAACCAAGGTTAAATGATAAATACACATAATATATTTTGCATGTAGCTAAATACAAATATTGTTGTTGTGTGGCATCGAGTGGATCTTGACTCCTAGCAACCCTACAGGAGAGAGTAGAACTGCCCCACAGGGTTACCTAGGCTGTAATCTTTATGGGAGCAGAGCCACTTGTGGGTTTGAACCACTAACTTTTCAGTTAGCAGGCGAGCGCTTAACCATTGCACCACCAGGGTCCTTATACAAATATTAGCATACTCATTTTACATTCCTAGCACCATACACTGTTATAGCTAAGTAGTTGTTGCTCAATAAATGTTAACTACATTAAAGCTAAGCTATAAATAATGACCTTGCGGTAAGAACAGGAAGACTTTTTCTCTGCTGACTGAAGTCACTCCTTGGTCATCATCCCCTTGGTCCATTGATGGTGCTGCTAAGTAGATTTTATGGGTTTTATTATGGGTTCTAATTTTCCCTAAAACTGTAATTAACATTTCTCCTGTGCCTCTTGGGAAAGTTTGTGTTCCCTGTCCTTCTTCCCCTCCACAGGCTATTAAACCAAATCCATTGCTGTCAAGTTGATTCTGACTCATAGTGGCCTTACAGGACAGAGTAGAACTGCCCCATAGAGTTTCCAAGGAGCACCTGGTGGATTTGAACTGCCGACCTTTTGGTTAGCAGCTGTAGCACTTAACTACTACGCCACCAGGGTTTCCAACAGGCTATTAGTGCCCTGGTAATACCTGGGTACCTCCCTGTGCTCTATGACAATGACCTGCTTTGGTTAAAACTTAACTATCAGTTCTGGCAAAATGGCACTCTAGGCAGAAGCACCATGCAGTCCCTCCACAGCAAAGATCCGAAAAACTAAGTCGAACAGAGAATACAACAATCCTGAAACCCTAAAACATCAAATGAAGAGATAAAGAACTCAGCCAAGCACCAAATG